TGCAGATTAACCAATTTTTTTTCTCCATATCAAATACTTGCATGTTAGCATCAGGGCTTGGATTGCGAAATAACAGTTTGGTTTAGAAAATTGGTTGTGTATCTCCAGTTTCCTTACATTGAGTTTTATCGGTTGTTAAAATTTCAGATAGGTTCACAAACTATTTACTTTATCTATAGCTATTCTTAATCTATATTTGGTTGTGTAATGTTATCAACTACATACCTGTCTACTTGACTGTTAACTCGGTTGTACATCGAATGTTTCAATTTATATTTTCGACTGTGAACTTACCTGTCCCTACGAACGCGCGCAATGGCGCGCGCCTTTCACTAGTAATATAACAAGGCGGCTTTGCTTACCGTAGATCAGCTGTTGCGTGTCGCGCATGCACGTTGATAGGAGTAGTACTTGGTACTGAGGCGGTAGAGTTTATTCGCCGCGCTTTCCACGCCTTTTGTTCCTTTGTTCGTCCAAGTCACGTGAAAAGTTAAGAACTAACGCCCTGATCGTTTGGGTTTGTTTGGCTGATAAGTCATGGCTGAAAGTATTATTGGCTGATTTGATGTGAGAGAAAAATAATGTTTGTTGGCTGAAAAAATATGGCTTATAAGCTAAATAAGCCCAAACGAACACAGCGTAAAACTTTAGACTTTTAACTCACTTTTGTGTGGTCTATTGTTAGGTTAGCTAAACTTTAGATATTATTTTAGAATTTCTGTTAGAACATCAAGAGCTAAACAGCCTGTTCGTTTGTTGGTTTCAGCCAAGATTTATCAGTCAACCAACGATGTTTTTCTCTCGCAACAAACCGACACCGGCCGGCCAACAGGCCAAAACTTTAGACCATGCAATCCAATCAGGACCAAACTCCAAGTCGTTCTCTCTCTCTTTCTCACTTCGGCTTTGCCACCAACAGATTCTTAGACGGTACGTTGAGAAGGTTTAGATTTTTCTCCACCGGAAGAATTCAGGGAGCAGATCACGGTGAATTAGTTTACCAGCGTTAGGTGAGGTCGTCAGCAGCTGCAACCTCACGAAAACACCAGCTAACTGCCCGTATGCCAACGGCACCTCGCGATAGCGAGTTAGCTATCAGAAAATTTTTTAAGGAGAGAAAACAACTGCAGAGTCACGATAATAGTGCGAAAGCGGCGACAGCTTCTTAAGGATCAGAAGAGGACGGTTAGCCAGACTCGGATCTCCCAGGCACGATCCTGAAGACAACCTATTAGTGGGACTTCCGTGATCGAGTCCATTGCGTGTCAGAACGGTGACGTGATGAAACATCAGATACATCATACGAGTTTCTGACTTTCTTTGCGTGTTCCAAATAAAAATTGCAATGCCCTGCACTCTAAACCAGCGGGAGTTTTGCGTATACAGCCATGAGTTCTTGTAAATCTGCGGCGGGCATAGGTGTCGACTGGTCGTAGTCATCATACACACGGCCGACGCAAGCCCAGCCAAGCACCTCCAAAAGCATCCCCCGATCCTTCAGCACAATTTGCATTCTTCTCTGCACTGTACGCATGAGCTATGATCAACTCAACCATCAATCCTCAAGGCGCCCAGCTCGAAAGGAACCACTTATTCTGTGCAGGTACATGTGGATTCGTTTCATCCTCGTTCGGCCGCAGGGTCTAGCAATAACAATCGTCGTAGTTGGCACTGGACCGGGGAGCATTTTATTCATTGCTGACCATATCTTTTTCTTTTGTATTATATAGCCTGCCAAAGCAGGGTGTGGCGTCTGTTCATACAGAAGGAAAGCAAAATATCAAGCAGCAGTCTGCACTCTGCTCCATCGGTTCTCATCGTTGTCGATCCGGTGGATGTAGCTGTAACGGTTTTCTCTGATGTATGCCACCCCAGACCATATACCACGAACAAGAAGGATGCTCGCAAACACCATGCTTCCAAATGTGCAGACCACCTGCGCACACGAAATATGAACCTGCTTTACTGAAATCAAGGAATGAAATCTGCAGCAAGCATCAATGCAATAGAATGCAAGACCTTTTGTTAAGTGCTCCACAGAAAATCATATTTTAATGATGCAGCCACTGAAAATTTGAAGATGCTCTCTAAGCTGACAAACAAACTTAACCATGGACTTCATCTTGCCTAGTGCCTACAATCAAACTTAACTTTATGGGCTGCCCATTTAACTTTATGGGAGGTACAGGTAACAAACTGAACCTGACATTCTATCTATCTAAAGCATTTCTTTTTAGAATTATATTTAAAGCGTTGAGAGGTACATGACAAGAACCACTGTATGTGCTGCCCATTTAAATGCAGTCAGGAGGAATTTCCAATAATCTGACCAATGTGAACCTATTTAATGTCACAAATCTGACCTCATGCTGGTGGATGCAACTGCTGACCTCATATCAGGCAGTTGTAACCCCTACCCTAATTGAGTAATTGCTGTCTTTGTTGCACAGATCAACCACTACTTGATATCAGTTGGGGAAGACCAAGTAAATTGGGTTAATGTGAACAAAAGTTTTGGGTCAGTACTGGTAACCCTGAACACAACATGGAAAACATACATCGGATCCGCCACTACCTGACATCAGTTGGAGAAGACTGGTAAGTGGTAACCAGGAATATAACATGAACAGCATGTGTTGGCTTCAATATGTTAGGTTGATCTCCTCCGACTCGGTCCAACGACCGAGTCGGGCCTTGATCCCGCGTCCTGATCGGGGGCGCCCAACCAAGTCATGGTTGGTGGGCCCCCGTCGCACAGCGCCATATAAAAGGAGGTGGGGTGCCGGGGCTCTAGGTACGAGGTTCACCGCCGCCACAAACCCCACCTACAAACCCTAATCCGATCTAGAGAGAGGCACCGACAGCGACGAGAAGCTCCACCGCCGCCTCTGCGCCACGCCCGTCGTCTGCACCGTCACCGGACGCCACTTCCTTCCCTTCGCCGACATCCAGCATTACCGACACCGCCATGGCTTCCTCCTCCACCAAGCCCGATGGTCAGCGACTTCTATCCCCTCTCTCCCTCTAATTTTTCGTACAGTAGATCATACTTGATGTTTATGCCAAGTTTTCTAAGAACATACCCTCTTGATCTACACCTAGGTGATCCTAAGTTCTATCACAATATGGACTGAACCAGCAAACTAATTAAATCCAAACTTATAGTTCTTATAAGCTTGTCTTGATCCTACATGACATTTTGCTGGTTGTTGCCAATTTCTTTGTCAGCTAGTACTCCTACAACCACAAGTTAATCCAAGCTTACAGTGAATAGATCGGGCCATTTCACCTGCTGCGCCAATTCACAAGAACGAAGCAAATTAAACCTGGCTAAAGCCCGTACCCAGGTCCAGCCCAACAAGCTTGATAGGTATTCTGTGCCAAGACAGTAATTGCCAAGCCCAAAATAAACTGGAGCTAGATGGAAACTCAGTTTCATTAGTTTTAGACAGTAATAGGTCTGATAGCCTCACAGTATCAGGCCTCGGTGTGCAGTAAAATTTAGGCCAGAATAAAATGGGGGCCTTTCCTAGCCCAGCACCAAAAATCTCAGATCTAGTGTTAACACTGTCATATTACTCGTCTTGCTGTTTCTTTAGGCAGAGTTCAGCCCCATATGACAGAATGTCAAATGGCAAGCATTCTATTATCTATTTTCTTTCTAGTTAATGCGTTTGCTTGGGAGTCCTTCAATTTGAATAATCCAAGATTTTACCATCACTGCAATTTTAGAGAGACGTAAAAGCACAAGCCTGTGGGGTTGTTTCTGCAACTGGATAGTAGCACTAAAAAAACCATCTTTACATTGAACGGTTCAGCATTTTGATGATCCATATCCTATTGACCACAACTCCCATACTTATTACCACCTTCATTGCTGCTCCTCCAGTAGATATTGATGGTACTTGTGAGTCTGCTCATGGTTCTTTACTTTGTGGAAACAATAGTATCTCTTGTGCTATTGTTCCTACTTCTGCGTCGATCATACTTAGTGAGGGCCTAATTAGACGATTACATGGTTGTAGGGGGCTTTGATTGCACAAGCTCAAATACTCAAATTGCAGACGGGATTTAATTAACATCAGCCTAAAAGTGATTGAGTGAACATTTGATTGGAAGGTGGGCTAATAAAACATTTTTCTATTTTGATTCTCAACTGAGAATGGCTGCTGGGGTGATAAATGATAAGCTCAGACAAAAAGGCTTGCACAAGACCTGTAATCTGCACTCGTGCAACCAGTTTTTAGGAATAAACCCAACTAAAATAGACGATGGATGGAAATTTAAATTGCTATTGTCTGAATGCAGGTGCCAACAAGAATAAAGCTAGCTAGAAAGTAAAAATAGTTCAAACCTTATAAAAATACTAGATGCAGAGTGTTATATGGGCTAATCAAACAGTACAAACATGTACCAAACTGAAATAAGAAACCCCTCATTCACATAATATTATGAACTCTATGAGTTTATTCAGCTGCATATACCATAACCAAAAAAAAACTCACATCTGGCAACAGTTTTTCACTATATTTTAGGCCTTAGATAATTACAGTTCACGTTTCTGATTTATATATACACATCCTTCCTACAGCTTCGGGCGTGTTTGGCTCCCTTCCCCTCCCAGCCTGGTCCGCTCAACCCATACAGGCCCAAGGTAGCCATGCCAATCACATGCAAGTAGCAGTTGTTTGATTGCCCGCACTCAGACAACCAAGCCAGATGCGGAGCCTGTTTGGTTGCCCGTGACAGCCATCAGCCAACTCGTTCTCTCGCTGTGCACATGGCCCCATGCGCTTGCCTGCATGAAGGGCGTGTTTGTTTCCCTGGACCAGGGTGGCCGGCGTGTACCAGCTGGGCCTGGGCATCGGTGGATAGGCCCAGGAGGTGCAACTGGAGTTGTTTGTTTGCCTGGTTGTAGCAGGGGCTGGCTGAGAGCGAGCTGGTGTTTGTTTGCCTGTACAATCGTGTATCATTACCCTGCATCAGGCATATGGGTAGCCTTACCACCACTGCTTCTTGTTCCTCACCCCCATTGCCATTTCATTGAGCACCTCCGCTGTGCCACCATGAGTAGGCACCTTTGCCGGCGAACTCTTCACATCGCCCCAGTCGCCACTGATGTGTCCGTCACCCACGTCATGGCCATGCGCCACAGCCACACCAGCCCAAGGCTTGACCTTGTTCCCGTCCAAACCAAGCCCCGGCGTCCACGGTGCCACCCGCGACGCATCGGCGTCCGCGAGCGACACCCTCAATACTGGCCGCGGGCACGATGTCGAGCACTGAGGATATCTACATCGACCGCCGGCACAGCTGCTCAGACCACCGGCGCCACCACAAGTAGGCCACCGGCGCGATGAGCAGGGGATGTGGAGAGGAGGGGAAAGGGGATGTGGGGAGCTTGGCGTGGTGCCAGCGGCGGGCGGCGCGGCGGCGGCGCCCTCGCCCGCGTCCTGCAGGGCAGCGTGGCCCGCACCTGCGGCCTGCTCGCCAGCGGCGTCCTGCGTGGCGGCGGCGCCCGCGCCCGCAGCTTGCTCCCAGCGGCAGCCTGCGTGGCTGCGTTGCGGCGGCTGGGGGCTGGCCGGCGACCGTGGAGTGCCGCGCCCACGGTGGAGGCCGATAGCTAGGCGGCCACCCAGATCCGGCCGAGCCGGAGTGGCTACGACGAGCGGCGCCCCTCGGGACGCGTCCTGGGCGAGTGGCCTGCGCCGGCGAAGCTGCTCCTCTAGTACTGCGGCGCGCGTGAGCCGGCGAAACTGCTCCTCTGCTTCTCCAGTCCGGTGTCGGGTGGTGGCGCGACGGTGCCGCGGCGTCGCTGTGGAGACAAGAAGACGAGGTCGCAAGAGGTGACGGTAAGGGAGGCGATGGCAGCGTCGTATCGTAGCCCACAACGCGCCCGCTCCAGCCGAACCCGGCAGGAACGATTTTTTTTTTTTCATTCCTCCGGGGCCAGGCCCAGAGGTGCTTTGATGGGCGTGCTGGCCTGGCTCCCAATCCGGTCCAGGCAAACAAACACCCCGGGTTGCAGCCCACGGGCGCAGTGGCCCGGCTGATCCAGGCAAACAAACGCGCCCAAAGTGAGCCTGGATCGCCAGATACGCAGATTTTTTCTGCACGGAGTGAGCCAGGCCGAGGGGCGGCTTTTGCACGGGAGCAGCCTGGCTGAAACCGCAGACCAGGAAACCAAACACGTGAAAGTTGCATCTAGTGGGCCTAGATGAGCCTCATGCAGGGAACCAAACGCGCCCTAAATGGACAGCCCGTGCCTACATGCTATGCATACATGCTCCATAGTCATCCAAGCATGTTCATCTAGAGGATGACTAATACACTACCATACTGTGAAGGTCTCAGCCAGGCACAACAAGGAGGAGATGCTGCATGGTGTATGAGCCAAGCTCAAGCTTACTACTGTACAACAGTAGAAGACGACCCTCTGGTACCTTACCTGATGAACTGCAAGAGGCAACAGCTGACTTTGAGTGATGCATCCTTCTATTTTAGCTAGTTCTACTTGATTATCTTGTGCCTATGCATTATCTGTGCTAAAGCTTGAGCTATCTCAAAAGCTCAAGACCTTATCATACAGTAAGCCTTATGCTTCCTGTCTGAAACTATTTTTCATTTTGCTGAAGACCTAAGGTAATCCCCTGCCGCCTGGTTTATTGTGAAATACATATCCAACTAATTGAGCATAACGAATAGTCGTATACAACTCTAACCATATGACAGCACAACTAATAATCCTAGCATCAATCCACAGTTTTAAGAATCAAAGCATCCAACAGCCAAATTTGAAAAAGAGTTCTCTACGCAGAATGCAAAGGATGCCTCATCAACATGAACTAGATGCTTGATCCCTGAACCAAGATGCCCTTTAGAAGAACAAATGACACTGTTATCCATGTTGCAAACACAACACTTCACCGACGGCATGATCACGAGACAAGCATTGAAAAGTGATGCTCACAATTGGTACGAAGCAGACCAGACCATCAAATAGTTGAGCATATGAATGAATCGTTCACCTCGAGAAGACCCTTCAGGATCCATAAGGACGTCAGCACCAGCACGCCATTGACCGAAAACTTCACCTACACACGCATGGGCACCACCAGATCAAGCCCAATACCGAGACCGCACCGCCAATTTCCAACAGAAAACTAAAATAGAGGAGATAAACGAAGAGGGGAACGGACCAGCTCAGCGGGGACGGAAGGCGGCAGCACGGACCTGGCAGCGCGGCGCGCGCGGCGGGAGGCCTTCCTGAACACGGAGTGCAGGAACCGGGCCAGTAGGTCCAGGCTGCGGTCCTCGTCTTCGTCCTCCTCTTCATCTGCGTCGTCTTCGTCCTCCTCGCTTCCGTCCCGGTAGGACGCGGCGGCGCCCGAGAGATCGCCGACCCAGGGGCGGGCATCTGGGACGACAACGACGGCGTCGGAGTGTCGACGCCGGGCAGCGCGGAGGAGGCGAGGAGCATGGGAGGGGCGCAGGTGGCGGGGGGATGCAGACGTGGACGTGTGGAAGCGGTGGCGACAGGCAGGGGCGGAGACGAGAAGGGGAAGGAGGGAGGTGGAGCTTGCCATGGGGGATCTGCAAGCTCGTTGGAGTGCTTCCGTCCCCGCGAGTGCGTGGCTGACCGACCTTCTCTTATCCGTTTTACATTTTGTTTTTAAAATGACGTAGTAGAACGGGGACATCCACAACACTGATGCACACTCACCTCTGTCATCTTCGAGGATTACGTCGGCAGATCTCGAGATTTATGGAAGTTATCACTAACATTTTGCTGTCGAGGGGACGTCGCCTACCACTAAAGGTATAGCGCCGTTAAATTAAAATAAATCTAAAAAAATACGAGCATCCATGTTTAGTTGAGAACTTAAACTCTGATAGATATGTTTTATCACAAGAAACCTAACTAATTGATCTATAATCAGTTCGCGATTTACATTTTGTTTTGATATAAGGGCCCGTTTGGTTTCTAGATATCGAGAGGGATTGGAAAATAGTTCTAGTACAAATAGAAAACATGTTCTAGATATTATTAGTTTTAATTTATGGAATTCAAATAGAAGAGGAGAAATAGTCGCAATAAGAAATACAGAAATATCTCACACAATTGACATCAGTTTAATTAATATGTATATTTGTCTAGGATACCGCTATCTCTACAGTAACAAAGCCAGAAGTTTTTCGAGCTACGGATGATCCTCACTACAAAAAATATTTAATGCTTCCTCAGTTCCGACCAATCTGCATAATATATATATTCGATGTAGTTTTTACATCATATATACATACTAGGACGGTGGGCGTGCTTCGCCGCGCCCGTTTTGGCTTCGCGCTAATGGCAGAAAGCGGAAGCTAGCAGGCTGTTCAAATGTGCATCCAAGACCGATTAAGCACTTGACTACATATGTGATAAGACTAATTCATCTATGCTTTACACAACCATTATGAATAATTGACTATATTTATATAGTCCCAGCGATACAATAGGGTGGCGTACAAAACAGTAGAAAATAAAATTTGCAATGCAGAACACTAAATTAAACATAAATAAACTACAGAAACATTAGTTCATTGTATAATTTAGATGAAGATTACAGGAAATGTGGTTACTCTTGGAGTGAGTGTTGGCAAAAACATCATATAAGACCGTGTCTATTCTTCATCAAGCGACCTAGTAAGCCATTAGTTCCAGGTCCCATCTGACAATGACTTGTATCCTCTCATGTGCAAAATTGAGTACCTTGTTAATGAGGTTAGTCTGCAGAAATTTCATTCACTATTCAAGGAAAAAAAGGCTAGCGTTGTAAGAACGGTTTCATAAAAGAGAAAGAATGAGTCAATGATAACTCTGAACTGGTCATAGCACACAAACTGTACCTTTTCTCAAGGATTGGATTCCACAGGTCAGTCACTAATGTTATTACATTAAATTGCATCTAATCAATTCATAAAATGAGCGTGTACTGCTAGTCAATATCCATGTCTGATTTCGTCCTAATGAGGCACAAAGCAGGAAGCACCATAATTATTAGATTAGTGAATGAGAAACCAAATCACTATGTGTTTTTAAAATTTCTTTTATATTAGTTGGACAAAAAAAAAGGGTCATGCAGCCTTGCTCCATGCCCAAAAAAAATGCATGGTTGATAACCTGTTCTGTTCCACAGCTAGATCCATGACAGAACTCATAGTAACTAATTCTAATTAGAATGTATCATAAGGTGTTATGAGATAAATTATATTTGCTCAGAACAGAAAATGAATATAAAGTGCAGGTAAATGTAGTACCATAGGAAGGCATGACGATGCCTGATGCAAGTAGAGTTTGGCTTGGCAGCAATATTGTAGATATCATTTGAGGCCACACCCTTCCTTGAAAAAATGATGTACAATTGTCCAACACATAACTATCTTTCTGCTGAGTACTTTGGTAATACAAAACTACATAAGTTATCTTAGACTACTACATGCCAGATATGTAGTATCTCAGGTGCATCAAAACAGAAAAAAGGAAAAGTCTTCCTTTTACTGAATAATCATTTGGATCAGATAAACCAAGAGTGTAACCACAAAAAATGGCAACCTATGTTAAAGATTTAAGAAATGCATTATCGACAATTACAACATATACAACAGGAAAATGTTACTTACCGAACTGTTGTTCATCGAATACCAACTATCCAATAGAGGTAAGCTGGAAGGCACAAAATCAAAATTGCAAGAGTTTGACGCGCAAATTTGCTGAACAACAGGTGCCAGCACAAAAATATATTTTGCAGAGATTTTAAACAGACAAAGTGAGACCATGAAGCAATGGACCGAGCAGGTAACTGGTAGCAAGATGGCTTGCATACCATATGGATGAGTTGTACATAAGCAAAAAATCAATCGACACAACCTAGGAAATCAGATGAAACCATTATTTGCTAAAATATTGGAGATAACTATGTGCTAGGCAAGTAGGAATTAATTGGGAAAAGAGATGCTAGGTCATGTCCGCAATGTATGTGAATATGGAAATTTGCGCTGTCAAATCTTTAATATGTGGCCTTTAGATTAAGCATGTACTGTAGAGACTGTTGATGTCTAAATTTCTGCCGACAAATCCTTAATCTGTGGGCTCTAATTAAGCTTGTAGCATGGAGGCACTGGGCCATGGATTGCCATCAGAACTCAAAATATCGTCACCAACACTGACAACCCCTGAAATGCATTGAAAATTGAATCAAACATGCAGATATGAAGCATCATTAAAATGAAAGTTCAGAACACACAAGTAGACCAAAATTTTTTTCAGGAAAAACATGTTGGTTCAAATTTATTTCTGTAAGAAGATAGATAATACAACAACATAAACAAAGGTTGGCCAGTCCATGTCCTAGAAAATAGCAAATTGACATGGCCTAAATTTCAGAAAACACATTGATGGCGTGTGAGGAAGGCTGCCAAAAGTTTTCTCTGTCTGCCCACCCGCATTAGGAGCCTGCAGATTTCACATGTAGATACGTGGTTTGAAGTAGCACTCATGTAAAGGAATAGAAAACATCGTGTTGTAGTTGTTCACCGGAATAGTCGCTAATAACGTGGAGGATGTCGCCCTCCATGACCAGGCCAGGCTGCAATCGGACGTCACGGCCGTGACAGTGGCGCCCTCGATTTCTTTTTCCTCCAAACCCTCATTGGGGACGTCCAGGTGCTGCAGTGGATGGCTATCACCTCGAATGCGCTGTCCACCCAAAGAGGAGCAATCGAGACAGGCGAACCAAATTAGAGAGAGGGGGAGAGTACCTTGGTTGGAGAAGGCGAGGAGGCTGGATGTGGAGCCGACTGCTGCTCCGTCTAGGGGAGGAAGATAGAAAGGGCGACCTGATGCGTAGCAACGGGGCCACGGATTACAGCAGCGGCCAACGGCGAGGCAGACGGGGGCACCATCTACGCGCGCTGTGGAGGCAGAGCGGTGGCAGGCGTGCGGGATCCGGCGCCGGCGCGGATGGAACACGCGGAGGTGGCGATGGCGAGGTGGCTGGGCGCGGCATCCGGGCACGCGGTTGCCGGGGGAGAGGAAGAGTAGGATCGAGAGGAGAGGCGGAGGCGGCGAGGCGCGGATTTTCTTTGGGGCTTTGGGGGAGTGAAAGAAGACGACGCGGAGGCTTCGAGGCGCTGCCAGTTCTTTTTTGTCTAATAAAGGTTGTAGACGTGCGGGCCTGAATGAACCCTAAGAGAGCAAATGCAGGCGGGCACACGCACGAGGCACGTGGAGATGGCTGATTGACGAATAGTAAACGGAACAGTGGCTGAAGCGTTCTCCTTGCGCCAATTCCAGGCGCTATATGGAGTTACATATTATCCAGGTCAACTTGATCGGCACGGGTGTTCCTTAGCATCATTTGGTGTGGCTCAGCATGACTTGATGTCTCATAGTACCACTTAATGTCACTTAGGTACCACTTAGGACCATGAATCATTGAAATAAGTGGATACACAAAATCTGTTAAGATGTTGCGTTGGTGTATTAGGTTGTGTATTGTGTTGGAGTAATAGGGGACACATCCAGGGTCTATGACCATCCCTAACACAATATATTCATTAGTTGTCATCGTTCAAGTTAGGGTTTGAGGTTTTGCTTAGAATAATCTTTTATTGGATAATTTGTCGTTCATCGGACTGTGGAACCGCAACTTGTGAGCATAATCTATATTAGTAATATATTCAAATTGTGTTCTTTATTGTTCTTGCTTGTGCTATTCGATTCATATTAGCCTTCATGGCAGGGTTAATAATGCATGGTTAATAACTAGAGGAGGCGTGGTGTTGCGATTGTAGGGTTTGAGTCTTTGTAATACAAAGCCAAATTGTGTATGTCAAGTTTTCATCAAATCCAGTTACCTCCACCTGAAGATCGAGCATCCCATTCCCGTCAATTAAGTTGACACAAAGTTAAAATGACCTGTTTTCTTTTTTAGTGATTAATGAACACAAGTTACTGTTAGGCATGTTACTTTATTTAGTCACGATATCTGCCACAATGATTTTCTTGGCCTCGGTTTATGAATTCTTTGTATTGATTGCAAAGGATATTTTTTTGAACTTTAAGGATTCTACAGAACTCAACTTTTTGGCCAATGTTTTTTTATTTAACCAATTTAACTTCATTGTCACGGCAAGTTGAACTCACGACTAGGAGTTGCTAGCCTTTTTTTAAAAAACAAAAGCAGGAGCTCTACTGCTCAATTAAGACGAAAAAATGTTATGTTCAAGAAGGCTAGCCTGACGAGATGCCAAACAAGCCACTCAGGGGCTAACCACCCACGCGACGCGGCCGAGCACAATTGCACAAACACGACACGCTACCATAGGTCATCGTTACCGAGCATGGAAGCAATGCTGCCAACAGCTCCGACTTTCCATGGCAGGCCACCCCTACTGCCCCACCAGCGGGTCCGAAGCAAACGGCCGCAACCGGTTATCGTTGCCAAGCTCAAACCCCGCGAAGAGCAGCTCCAACTTCCAGACACGAACCTGCGCCTCGCCATCAGCGGTTCGAAGCTGCAATGATCATCCAAATGCAACG